ACCTGACGGGGTGCTAGACAGTCGAGAGCTTGTTTCCGACAAAGAATGACAGTAATTATATCAAACTGATGACTTTGATTGACTTCAAAAGTCTCATTTACTGACATTATATTGTATTACAGAAAGACTGTATCAAGATCCTTTATAAGCCTTACCGTTATATTATGATACAAAGTACAGTGACAGTATAGCCAAATAGCACACACGCTTGTGCTCTAGAAAACATTGAAATCATAATGAGATAACTCTGTAAAACATAGGTCCTGCATATTTATATAAAGTGAATTACAATTAGTCTTTTCGAAAAATCTTAATAAAAAGGATAAACAAAACAAAACAAAGGTTGGGATATTTTAGAAATTTACTTTGTTAGTTACCATGATGACACAGGTTATAGAAGTCCGTTCAATGACCCTTCGCTCTAAATCAATATTTCCGAAGGAGAGAACTTCTGATCTAAGAACTTTTGTTAAAGTCGTTATGGCTTGTTGAATGATCTCACGCTGTCTTTACACATGTAATAATGCTGCCATTTTAAGACTCAATGTGCTCGCGTCAATTAACGTGTTTAGCTAATATGTACAGATCGTCGATTGCTTTGATATTCTTATCAAGACATTAACAAGGTCGCAACAACTTTGAAAAAAAAATTAAAGGGATAGTTGAATTCTGTTGCAGAGGGCGCTACACAAAACAATTTTGTTGTGAGATAATGAAAAATTGAGTGTCAAATTTGAAAGAACATAATATTTAAATGACAAAATCATCTTAGTTTGATCAAAATCGGTTCAGAGACGGCTGAAATATAACGATTTCTAATACTTATGTACCACCACAAATATTAGATATTTTGAAAAATTTGAATAAAACCGTTGAAAACAAACGAAATAACGCCTTTTACGTCGTATTTCAGCCAATGCCGATTAAAAGTGGAGCTGAATTGGTATGATCGTATTGGCTAAATTTCACACCTTTTAGAACCTAAAATTACCTTCATAGTAATTTTAGGTTCTAAAAGGGCACTATAAATGTCATAGATAAGAATAAGAGCAATAACCATGCACTTTGAAAGCATTTGCGGTCTGAAAACAGAACTCAACTATCCCTTTAACTCAAGTGCAATTTCAATGCCCTACATGTATGTATATCCATTAGAATCATGTTCCGATTACGTAACAGGTCATTCAGTTATAATGTTTTCACATTTAAAAAGGTGACGTACACGACCATTGAAATCGGCCTTAGGTTGATTTTGCGAAAGTAGTTTGCGATCGTGATCATTGTACGCACACCTGATTTTACGGGTCTGTTTGCTAATGAGAAAACAGACGGGAATGATAAAAATGCCTTTTGTAATATCAATATTCCGCTTATAAAGCGCTTAATAAGATTTCTATAAGCGCTTTACAGATAGACTATTACCCCGGTCATTGGATTCAGTGCTTGCCCGCACACTGTGTGCACATTCTCCACTGCCTGGGGAGCATTCCAGCCAGGCGTTACTTGACTAACAATGACGGTCGCATCCTACCGGGTACCCATTTAACACCTGGGTGGAGAGTAGCAAGTGCAGGTTAGTATCTCGCCAAAGGATATTAGTGCCGTGTCGGGATTCGAACCACTCGGCCACGACACTCCCACGTCATTCCGTAACAAACCTACATGTATATACAATTCAATATTTTATAAACTTGATGCATTGATAATAGGAATCCCCATTCGTGTGAAGTATTTCATATTAGTTTGTAGATTTAAACAAAATAAAATGTCTATAATATTCTTCATTTCAAATATAAATTTCTCTTGGGGAAATATCATTCCGTATAAACGCTTAGGACTGACCGGCTACATTAATTTTTTTAGTCGGAAAACTGTCAGGTGGGGCAAGTAATTGCCGCCCCTTGCCCTTCCTTCAAATACGCGGGTGGAGCGAACGGTACTAATCAATTACCGACCTGATTATGAGCGGACAATTGCTGATGTGATTGTGGGATTTGCTGCACAGGTGTAAACGGGAGTGTGTTTAATACGCCGGGTGGTCTGAGCGAAATATTTTCCCCGCGTGCAAATATTTACAGGCACATCCCCTTCTCATGCAGTCGCTGTGCGTAATAGTGTCTGCACTGTGAGACTAGGCTGACAGCATGCTGCATAGGCTCCGTACTTTAGCTTTATTTGACACACCCAGAGACGGACATAGCTAGGCTCTGCCCAAGGCTTTAAAGGTGAAATTCAAAGAAAATCACAAATATGTCAACTAATGTATCACTAGAAACTGTTGAGCTAACAGATGGCCATCGTAGAAGTTTTAGGTCAACTACATATCGGGTGATTTATAAAAATACAAATACAACTACCTCCATAGCAGCTGGGATATAATATGAGAGATTCGCCAGAAAAATAACGATGTTTTAATGACGTCACAATATGGATCAATACTGCCCAAGCAGACGACATCCCACAAAGAATGCACATAATTGCAAAGCTATTATTTGTCAAATTATAATGAGTTTAGTGAATATAAATGTAATGGAATGTCAAACCATTCAAAAGGGGATATGATCCGATTCTGATAACTAAAATCTTTTGCTTGTAAATACACAGGATAGGGGTTAATTAACAATCAAAGAAACCAGACTTTCAAATTGAAAACCTCCCGGAATGATATTAAGGACGGCATTTGTTCCTTCTTGAAACGCCGAACATACCGCGGTGTGTGCAGCTGAATATACAATGGCGTCTTATTGTGTTTACAAGCGACAGATTCCTTTATTTTTGTATATCTGCATTTGTCATCAAAATAAAACCATGCGCGGGGTATAGAGTGAGACAATAGATTATACGTTTAGCCTGACAGTAGTGAAGTAAGAGAAAGAAGTCAAGAGAAGATGAAAACACAGGCACTGAAAATGTGTGAGATGTCATGGGACATCGTCTGCTTGTGCAAATCGTGTCCATACTGTGATCTCACACATCCCAGCAGCGTTAGGAGACCTCTTCAGGTGCTATGGCGGGGCTGTATTTAAGCGTTTTGTAATTTATAATAATCACTACTTCGAATGTTTCCAAGCATTGAATTTTGATGACTTTGTCGAATCAAAGTTTCAACTTTGCAATAATGAAAATAAAGTTAGTTTTTAAAATCAATGAACCTTCACTTTAAGAAAGTGTGATTAGTGTTTAATTTGAGGCTGTGCCTGCAGACTAGTATCAAGAGTTTGCTGTCCTGTGTCGAGACACCTGTTGGCTATCCAAGTGCCTCTTTTCATTCAATACTCGTCACGTGTGATGAGCACCTGGATGATGATGATGAAGCATTTGCTCTACTTAAAGGTATTACAAATTTTTGGTATGTGGTCATGAATTTGGTTCAAATTAACATATTGGAAGCATATGCGTTCCTACAATATACATTGATCGTTGTCGCGGCTGAAATCGAGTCTAAAGTTATGAAATTATAAATAATAAAATCTTTATGTTGTATAGCTCCCTCTCAAGGTCAAATATTAATTTAGCTATGAAACAATGTTTCTTGACTGAAATCGACCGATTAGCTATTTTCGTTTGGAAAATATATATCCCAACTACATATTCTGAGATTTTCATGGTCGCAGCTACGATTGTACGGCCACAGACGCTATTTGAAATTTATCAAAATTTACCTGGAGCACCGGTAAATTTGTATATTCAATTTTTCTTGAAAACAGAAGTGTTTTAGGGGCTATTTTTTTAGTGCTTATAATACATCCACAGGGGCATCCAAATACATCAAAATTGTAAAGATTCACTATCCACCCAATTTTCAAAATTTCCCAAAACTTTGTATTACCTTTAATGCCAGGTGCATACAAGGCGTTATTTCGATTGCGTAATTACCTGCGCTTTAATTATATGTTTTTTTTGGACCTGACTAGACTGCTAAGTAACATTGTGCAGGCTTGTATGTATGCAACCAGTGGACCGGACTGGTAATTTTAGCAAATGAACTCGTTTTCACTGGCTGCCTGCCGTAGCAACACATTGGCCCGAATTCACAAAGGAGGTTTGTCGACAAACCTTGGTTTTCGTACGTCATATGACTCGTTTTACGCGTTTTTATACAAACCTGGTTTGTAAAGAACAAAAGGAGGTTTGGCGAAACAAAAGGAGGTTTGAGCTCAAACCTTGGTCTGAGCTCAAACCTTGCTTTGTGAATTCGGGCCACAGAGTTGCAAAAGACTTCACTCCGTTTCGTTGACGATCAGCCATGCATGAAGTCTTTCGTCTTCTTTGTGTATGGCTGATCGTGAACGAGACGGAGTTAAGTCTTTATTCAACTCTGTGTGTTGCTACAGCAGGCAGCCAGTGAAAATTAGTTCATTTACTAAAATTATGGAAATGCAAGCATTACTTCAAACAAACAGAACTTTGTTATTCCTTGTTCATTTTTGAGGTTCAGATTGAGGTGTCATATGAAAGGGCAGAAATGAACTTTCTAGAAATGTGATTTTTTTTTTCTTTCTTTGAAATTCAGATACCGCCCGCAAAGTGACTTGTTGGTTTCCTTCCTTCAAGTTGTTTTTAATCACTCATGCGTGAAATATGCATCATATGAGTAGCATGAAATGAAAGAGGAGGATCTAAGCTTGACGAATATGTTTCATTTATTAATTATAGTTGTGATTAAGTTATGATAATGAAAACATCGTTAATTCTCGGTTTTTTCTGGGACGCACTGTATTTCTACTGAGCTATCGCGATTCCTCAAGTTCTAATAATTTAACTTGTAAATTCGGCAAACTCATCGCTTACTTCGATAATATTCGGCAAATTTTATACTTCGACGAAACGATGTATTCGGCTTATTTAAAATGCATCGTTGCTCTTTTATTTTCAATAAAACCATTATTATTTCAATTCAATTCAAATCCTTAAACGATGTACATGATGAATTAATGTTTGAATTAAATTTGAATCTCGTGCCAGCTAATTAAATTTTATTCTCAACCCTTTGCAGTAAAACAATGAGAAATATTGAATGGAAAATATGGCTGATACTACCGGCGATCTCCTGTGCTTACGTACTCGGTAAGTTAGTTGCCTCTATTGAATTGCAGAAATATCACATTTGCATTTTACAAATCATGTTGCTTCCAATGATTGTTGTGTCCAAATTCATGTTATATTAATTTTCGTTACGTTTGAAAAATTGTGATATACACTTGATTACGTTTGAATGATACAAACAAGATTTTATGGCCTTCATTTTTCAAAGATCAAATAGATTAAAAAATAAAATAATCATTTTGAAAAGACAATCTGCTTAAATATTATATGAAAATTATCCAAATAAATTTGATATCTTCCCATTGGTAAACTTCAGATTGATACGAATGTTTAACTTACGGGTTATTAAAATTCAGAAGTGTCGAATGAATATTGAAACACGAAACTGCTAACACACAACAAACTTCTCTATGCATAATCTCCCCCCCCCCCCCCTCTCTCTCTCCATTTCTCCTATCTTAATCTCACTCTCTCTCTCTCTCTCTCTCCCTCTTTCTCTCTCTCTCCCTTTCTCTTCCTCTCTTAATCTCACTCCCTCCCTCTCTCTCTCTTTCTCTTCCTCACTTAATCCCCCCTTTCTCTCTCTCTCTCTCTCTCTCTCTCCGTCTCTCTCTTCCTTTCTCTATCGGCTTCCCCCTCTCTCTCTTTCAGGACAAGACATGGTGAACGTGAGAGGGTGTCCTTCAAGCATCAATGTCGGGACAGATAAGGGCAAGAACCTGGCCAGTGTGGAATGGCCGGAGCCGGAGTTCATAGATACCGAAGAACAGCGGGTCATACCGCTCAGATCCCATGCACCCGGGGACAGGTAAGGGTACACTGGCCTACTCAGGGGGAAGGGGAGGAACAGGGTAAATATGCCCCTTTATCAGTGGTGCACGATGGGCCCGGATATTAAGGGGGACCGTTCTTACGAAGCGAATAGAACACAATTGAACTGAATAAGGGGGAAAGATGATTTTTCTTCTGCTTTGCATTCCCGTTCCCCTCTCTCTGTTTTTTCTTTCCACCTTTGTGCCATTTTATCGCCCCGTCTACAACACTGCTCCTTTAAATACCACGTACCCCTTCCCCCGACTGAGTCCGGAAGGGATTTGATGACAAATAACTATGGAGCGCTAATATTGAGAAGCCTGACAGACACGAGCGCTTTAAAATAACCATCTAGGCCTATCATAATCATTATTATTATTTTGTTTTATTGGTGTTTTTATTATCATTTCAACAAGGTATAATAGCTTAATCAGCCCCATTTTGTTACATCACCATGCATGATTCACATCCTTTGCCCTCTTCAAATTCTTTTTTTTTTAAATACAAATTTGACAATATGTAATTATTTATATTTTTAGGTTCTTTGTTGGTAAAACAATAGTGCGGTACACAGCATACTACATGGGCACAAAGGCTTCGTGTACTTTCAATATCGTGGTACAAGGTATGTCGCGCCCTCTATAGGGTGTCTAACGATTCGGGAAGACCAGATGATGATGATAATGATGAAGATAATTATGATGATGATGATGATAATTATATTAAATTTATGATGATGCAAGATAGCGTTACAATCGCAGTAGGGGATGGCTTTACAAAAATACTTTTCATTTGAGAGTGCCACACAATATATCAATGCAATACAATATTACATTATGATAATCTTCCTAAAGATTGAACACCATGCGTTTATGCTTAAAAATTTAAAAACGAATCGCCAATATTCTATGGCTTTAAGCTCGTAACACGAAGGTTAATTTAACCGTCGATGCCTATAGCTGCAAAATGTCAAATGAAAAGAAAAAAAGATTTTCATGCCCGATTTTATGTTTGCTTCTTCAGACAATGAGGTTCCACACTTTGTAACATGCCCCACAAGCGTGGTCACCACAACTGACCCAGGAGAGGCGTTTGCTTCCGGGGTCACATGGAAGAGGCCCTCTGCAACAGACAACATCCGATTGGTCGAATTCCGCTCGAATCCACCAATAGGATCACGGTTCTTAATGGGCGTGACCAAGGTGACGTACTGGGCTATCGATCCAAGCGGTAACAGAGGAGAGTGCAGATTCAACGTTATCGTCGAAGGTACGTCATGGCACACTGACATAGCTAAGGCGGGGGGGGGGGGGTCGTGCCCTGTCAATCAATCGCATATCGAAAAGGGGGAACAACATGAAAAAAGGAGAGGGGGACGTGAAGAGAAAATGATCGACTTCTTCCTATACCCACCTTTTTGGTCGGCGGCTATGCTATTTTATCCACCAAATGAGGCTTGTACCCAGCCCCTTCCAGCCCCTCCCACCCCTGTGATTAGCTGGAACTCTACTATGTCACTGATTAGCTGGAAACCCAAATCTAAGAAATTGGGAGAGAATCATGTTTGCCTTCGAGTACACAATTTTACAAATCTTGTGTAAATAGTTAAAAGGGCATAATCTTTTAAAAAAAAAATCATCAATATGGTTTGAACCCATATTTTTGTATAGGTTTTTATTCATTTCTCTCATAAAGAAACTTACACATAATGTATAACATTTTATACAAAATTACAAATAATCTTCAACTTTGCAAGCGAACAATTACTTATAAAGTTACAAATACAATTTTCATATAAAATATATTTGCATATGAAGTTACACATTTACAGAAGAAAAATATTCACATTAACAAAATTATAGTTTCACATTCATTTTAAACAAATCACACATAAATTTGTTAACAATTTCCTCGTTCAGCTTGCATATAGATCTCCAATTATTTCTTGTCTTGTTTGATGATGATGGTGATGATGGTTATGGTGATGATCGCTTCTTGTAAAGCGTCGGTATCCACCTCTGATGGGTGCTCATGGCGCTTGCTCTACAATAGGGACTTTCAGATGTGCACGTCGACATAGTGGACTGCTACGTGTAACGTCCCTTTTAGGCAATGTGACGTCCTTTTATGGCACCACCAGTGCCTTAAAAGGAAGTCACACGTAGCAGTCCACTTTGTCGACGTGCACATTTAAAAGTCCCTAATGTTTTGCAATTGTACGTGCTTGGTCAGTGTTTCAAAGTCAGATTATTTTCCATTAGTCAAATTTGTTGGCATTAGTATTACTCTTGAGATGATGACGTAGCTGGGGAATGGAAAGTCTTTAGGGCTGATATGAACGTTAAAATAAACATATTGTCCTACCATAACTAGTATTTAAATAATTGAAATAGGAACTACATCCTCATATTTAAACCCGTTGGCTACAGAATTCTCCTATTCCTTATGCGTAATAGTACAGGGTCCATCTGGCTCCAGAAAGATTGATGATTGTATCATCATTATCTTTGCGAAGCCTTCAATTAATTCAACTACAATCCAGTCGAATTTAGATGGCATCAGTTACATTTAGTTTAGATAAAAATGAATCGGTCAATCTGTTAAGAGGGACCTGAATTAGAGTGTGAATTATTATTGTAAAAGACTTTCATATTTAAAAAAAAAACACTGCCATTAGCGACCATTATGCTCAGCGATCACTATGACATATAACCACGGTACCCCTCTGTAAAGTAACATTGTTATGCTTACAACGCTGAGTAGAGAAGTTTTTTTTTTATAATTGACGGAAAATAAATACAATACAATACGAGTCAATACAATACCATGACATTGTTGACTTCGAATTATTCACAACATTTGAACTATTCATTTTGTAGACAGGGAAAATCCAACCCTCCATCAGTGCCCATCTAACATGGTTGTCAATGCCAACCCGAAGGAGACACTTCGGAGCATCAGCTGGACCGAACCTGTGGCTCGGGACAACGCGGACGTCGCTCGGGTAACTTCGACACACCGGAACGGGTCGTTGTTCCCACTCGGCACTACACATGTCCGATATACAGCCGAAGATTACTCGGGAAACACCGGCACGTGTTCGTTTTTCGTCACACTGAGGGGTAAGGCAAATTAGACTTGTATAATTTTTTAAATTTTTTATATCGATTGAACTGTCAAACGCAACATCTTGTAAGATGTACCTTGATAGGCGTACAGTAGGTTAAAAGTTACAACATCATTGCAAATACTTGAAAGTGGCATATGACAACATAACAGCAATTCTCAACTCACTTCCATACCTTTTAATGGAAAGGATAGTAGTTCTGAAGACATAATAAAAGGTATAATAAAGTATTTACGTTTTCTTATTAACAAACAAAATCATACACATTTTGCTCAGGCAACATAAGCTGTGGGCATTTATTTTCAAAGAGAGCCATACAGTGCAAGGGCTTGGGTTGCCATTATCTCCTCTTTTTCAAAATAGTTGTGCAGGGAAATTGTAGGTCAGGATTAAGTGTATTATTGGTTTTAAGTTAGTAATTCGGTACCATTAGATATTCCAAGCCTATAGCTGTAAATCGCTAAATCTGTCTGAATCATTGAAAACAGGCGTTCTCGATGATGGAGTATGGAAATGTTAGCTTCTTTCCCTTGTCAAAATGAATAATCGAAGAACCGAACCGGTTCATTTTCATGATTGACTTAGTAAATGCTCTGGTCGATAGCCCTTTCTTATCCTTCCTTTCTAACTTAGTAAGAGTGCCGGACGCGCAGATCTTCATCCGTTACTACACCACCACATCTATCCACATAGCCTGGCCCGAGACGACGGACCAACAGGCATCAAGTTACCTCATCTACGTCTGGCCGTCAGAGGGAAGGGAGCCCTCTGCGTCGGACCATCTGTACCATGGTATCAACAGGGCAGAGAGCTTCGCTTCAAGGCGTCTGGGTCCGTTGATGGTAGGGAAGGACTACGACATCAAAGTGGTGGTGACGGGAGCCAATCATGTGATGACGACCAGACAGAGAACCAGTGAGATTCATTTCAGTAGTTGAATTATACAAGGGCAAACATATTAGCGCACCACAGATCATCAAATGGAGTCCAAGAATATTCTTGATATTCTCTGCATTTCACAAGCTTGTGCAAGGAGGTGATCACATACATGAACATGAAGAAAATGGGAAAATACATGTTTTTACTAGTAAATGGAATTAAAAAAATTCTATTGGAATTGCGTTGAGGAAAAAGGAGCTGTCATGAATATCATTTTGATGAATGTGTATGATCAGGGAGCAAACCGCAATTCGGAATAGGCTGGAGGTGGTCAATTACATAAAAATGCTTCATTACAAACTTTCGTTTAGAAAAGCCTTTCGATATTGGATCGCTTGCGTACTTCCTGTATGCAATATAAAAGACGGATTGTTTAATATTTTTCTTTGCCTGAAATGCAGGTAGGAAAATAAATACATTGTCAATTACATCATAGGGACAAATTATTTTCTTTATGACGATGTAGTTGTTCTGGATCTACCTCAGATATATACTGTATACGTTTATTGACATATACTTTTTTTGTTATTGTGCATTTTCATGTACATTACAGGGCCTGCCCCTCCCCACAATGTCTCCATCATACCAGGTACCATCACACCTGTCGCCTTCACTTTGCTGTGGAAATCGGGTAACGGTTCATTCGAGAGCCATGAAATCACGGTTCGCCGGTTATCTGATAGGAGCGTTGTCTTCACGAAATCTGTTGAGAAGAGTGTGAACTCACTTCACGTAACCGGTCTGGAACCGTACACCAGATACATGATTTCGATTCGGACCGTCAGCGGTTATTCGACTGACGTAACAGAGAGCGAGGAAATATACATTATGGCTAAAACAGGTGAGAACACACTGTTAACCTTAATTTAAGTCATTTTTTTCCGTTTCTGGATATTTAGTAGTGTCGTAAAGAGTCCTGTGGCCTCTTATTGCATTTAAAAAACAAACATTGATAACAGGAAGCTCCAGAAAAAAAAAATCGACAAACAAAAACGGATTAAACCCCCCCCCCCCTCCCACTGCTATTGACTTTAAATGATCAGCAGTGCTACATGTGTGTAGGCCTACCAGACGTCTGATAGTTGAAGGAAATCCTCTAATCGTAATCTTTGTTAATTAGTTTTGTTTCTTTGAATATATTTTTAAAAAAAATGCTACCAGCCCCCATTTTTTACCTTTAAGTGTGACGTGGATAACAACAAATGGATATCATCTGATCGTTTTCCACAGCACTAATGCCACCATCCGGGATACTTGTTCGTGAGATGACCGCAGACACGATTGCCATAATGGGAAATACATACCCATATGCTGACGGCGACGACGATGAAGACGAAATCGATGACGATAGCCTCTTCGACCCCCAACAGATGACGTCACAAAGCCATGATGCACACATTCTGTTCATCTACTCCGAGAAGGGAGATTTGTTTACGGATGTGGTCTTCAATCAAGGCGTTTGGAGTTATACCTTTCGTGATCTGAATCCGGTGACGAGTTATACCATCAGGGTCGTCAATAATCAAAATGGCGTGGCATTCGAGACAAATTCAACTACAAGTACATATTTTTCCGTACAGTATAGAATCATACACGTCTTAAGGCATATCTGTACTAGTTTATAGGAGAGATTAGATCACACTGCACGGTCACTGGACAGATGGTTATCTCATCAACTCAGCTCTCAAATAACATAAAGTAAAAGAGGATCATGGGGGACCAATGGTTACCGGTTAGGCATTGTTCTCTATATAAAGGGAGCAAGTAGCTACATGTATAGGACAGTGTGGCTTTAAGCAGTGCGCAACGCTTTGTTACTACAAGGAAACATCGCTGTATAAAATAGTAATGAAATGGCGCTACATCAAATAGGCCCTCCTTTTTATTTGTTTTAATTTCAAAATTGGAAAGATAATGTAGATGTGGCTGAAATTAAATCTAAGTTTGGACAATTTTGACTGACATCTATCACCTTCTCTCTCTCTCTACAAAAGGGCTTAAAGATAAATTCCATGTTCATTTTCCAACTTATCTTTCTGTAACAGAACCAGCACCGGTCACCGATCTTTTCCTATCTGCCATCGATCATTCCTCTGCAACTGTCCAATGGGCGCACGCCATTGGATCACGTGACCGATATGAAATCATCCTCACTCCAGCACCAAAACACAAGCATCGGATCATGCCGATTAGAACAAGAAATGACATCATTACTTTCAAGGGTCTTGAAGCCGGAACCACATACGACATGCGCATTACTACTAGGAAAGGAATTTTGACGAGTGATGACAGACATTTGAAAATAACACCAGGGAAAGACCAAGCATTGTCCATGTTCAGAGCCAGAGGTATTTTTAAACAGCATTATGATCTAATTTTCACTTACCTCATCAACACAAGACCGAACAAAAAAATACAATGGCCAAGATTTCATCAATTATAAGCCTAGTTGGAGTCGGTGAGGAGTCTGTTCTACCGTGTTTATTACAATAAAATGTCGGTAAATCCATTTTTGGATATTGTTTTATTAGGTGAAGTGTACACTGACTGTGTCCTCTTAATGTTGCGATCTCCAGGGCCAGAGAAGCTTCCAGAATATATCAACAATACTCATGAGTCCCCCCCCCCTAAAAAAAAAGGGGGGGGGGCTGCAGTTTCTCCTTCTTTTTCATCATGTATTAATATCCAGTGCTCAGCGGCTGTTACAAAGATGGCATAAAGACTGCAAATTAAAGGCGTTAAAAGAATTAACTGTGGAAAACGATCATAGAGATGAAAACAAGTTTCCATCTTAATGAATGAAAGAGGAGCAGGTACATTCCATACCTTTCTAAGTCTTCCACTATTCTGTTTTCTTTTTCTGGCTTCCTTTTCAGAGAGCACATGTCTATCACCAATCATCGCGTGTGGTTTACTAGGTGCTGCGCTGCTTCTCTGTGTGGTTTACTTAATCGCAGTCTTCATCTTCAATAGAAAATTTCCAGCGGTAAGTTGCCATACTACAAATGATTCCCATTAGAAATGAGGCCAAGTACAAAACCAGATACTTAGTTTAATTGACAAATTGTAAACCATTAACAAAATGAAATGGTCCCATGCTACCACATTGTTATTAAACGAACTGAACTTGCTTCCAGTTACTGGCAGAATCCAATGCCGGATATTGGTTTAAACTTTAAAAGCTAGGTCAAACAAACTTCCTCTATACATCTCCGCACTCTTTCAGCAGCATTACACTTTGTTCTTGGTTCTTAGTTAGTTGGTCCTCCAAAATACTCGTCTGAGTTTTAACTGGAGGTGCGGGTAGGGTGTATTAATTTGTAGATGATTAATGATGAATAATAATGCTGATAATGAAAACTGTATTGATTGTTCTCTTCCGGCAGAAACTCCGCTCTCGTCGGCCGTCGGAGAACGAGTATGAGAACCCCTCGCATCATCAGTACTCCTCCTACCTGAACTCCCTCACAAACCGCATAGCATTGATGAGACGGCCTGAGAGCAACAACTACAACCTACCTCACCATCACCATGTTAGAACTAGTAGGGCGTTTAGTAGGTTACCAAGGAGACAAAGCCCGCATCACACCCTACAAAGGTAAGTCGGACATACATGGCGGACGGTATGCTAGCGTCGGCTCTCTGCAAGAAGGCCGTTGGAGTAGTGTCACAGGCAGTAATGGCCTTCTTGCGGGAAGCCGACGCTGTGTGCTTACTAGGTTTGCACATCGACATAGTGGACTGCTACGTGACATCCTTGTAAGGCAATGTGACGTCCTTTTAAGGCACTGCCAGTGCCCGGCAGTGCCTTAACACGACGTCACATTGCTAAAAGGATGCCACACGTAGAGGTCCACGTTCTTGTCGTGTAAATCTAAAAGTCCCTATTGATGCAGCGAGGACCACTGGGGATAACACACCCATTTTGCTTCTAAGATTTTAGGCCAAACCCATGACAGCAAGTTCATGAATCTGATGGCCGATCCTTATTGGCAGCGGTGGAGTGTAATCAGTGCATTCGTTCGAATCCTTCCTCATCACATCAGCTCCTTTCAATCTTCCGGGACTGTAACCCACAATCCAGTTTGTTTACCGTCATCTGTAGAATGTGACACTACTCAAAAGGAGAGGTACTCGTGTACTACGTTACCAAAATCGTTCATCCTCCAATGAGAAATACCTAACAAATAATAAAGTCACTCGTTAAGTTTAAGTGTCAAGTCACTTTCATTAACGGACTTGGGTAAATTAAAATTCGTATTCTTTATTTTTTTATATCTCTGATTCTTTCTTTGTTTGTTTGTTCTTCCACAGGACGCAGAGTGAATCGGTGATTTATTACAACCTATCAGACTGACGGAGTTTTTAAAGATTGTGTTTTTTTTTTAAAGCTATTGGCCAAAATACTTTCGCCAGTTAAAAATTCCTTGATCGGATCGTAGTCCACGCGGCCTGTCAATATCAGTGCAGCCTAGGTAGATGGTTTTGGTCTAGTTAATGAGACACCGGGTATAGTAAATCACTTGATACGTGGTTCAAATCCTTGCCACAGACGGACGTCCATTGGTCAGACATTAGTCTAAATTTGCCGCACTCGACCCAAGTGCTCCATGTGCAATTGGCACTGGTAACAGCTGCCGGAGCTAAAGCCGGGAAAATCACTTCTAAAACTCCTCGGAAGGAAACATGGACGTATCATAATGTGTGATGTACGCTATACAAGCACGATAAATATTTTAACATGTTTATGTGTCGAGGTGTCACTGAGAATGTCATCGAAAATGGGCCACGCATGATTTTCGGAGTCTATTGATACGACGGGAGATATAATTAGTTTGACATGATAGAATGAAATGACATCGTCAATGTATACGATCTTGGAAAATACAAGCTTTTGACACTGAAGCGCATGAACCAAATAATCTCCTTAAATTGTTCCAGGGTATAGCAGCAAAAAAGCATCCACGTTGTGACGCTGAAGATGACTACATCCAAACGATTCACTCTCGTCGTTGTTCTACAAATTGAAGAGTAAAACCTTGAGATTTTCAGTTCGGTAGTGATAGCCGGTTATGTCCTATTAAAGTGATAAGTGAAGATACGATAGCTTGGTAAGTGCTTCTTTTCTTTACCAGATAGCTACCCTTGATGCTTCGCTCCTGTGTATGGGCATCGCTTGACCATTTCGAATGGAGATGTTCGACAAATACTTTGCCATCGACAAAGCTGAAGTTTTTTCAACAAGTATCATGAAGTTCATTAGAGTTTGAAATTTTGAAAAGCTGCAAAACGTTTACGGGTTTCAGAATTTGCTGACTGGCGTTCACATTTCGTCCAAATGACCTTTAAGTATAGTGATCTGAATGTCGAAATCCTTGAATCAGTTAAATCAAGTAATATATTTATTTGTTGTCTTATTCTCAAACTTAAATGTACTCTGTAAACTTATTTTATTACGTACATACTTATCAATATATCGTTACTTGTATAATTCATTTGTTCTATTATATACTGTAATACTGTATGGTTTATATGTGTCACTCTAATTTGTGGATATTTGAGTGGAAAAATATTAAATCAAATCAAATCAAAATCGTAATATTTCCACTTTGCCCCCTATATTGACGCCCCTGATCATGTGGTAACCATCGTAATTAGATTATTGCTCGTCTAAAGGAAATACCTCTGTTACGCTTTCAGATGGAAACCGGGAAGTTTGAAAGAAATAGAAAAGGATAAGAAAATGAATTCCATGCTAGGATCTTTGCACCAAACCATCGATTGAAGTGAATTATTGAGCAAAAGGAGGGGTGATTGAAAAGTAACTTTTCCTAAATATCATGAACATCTGTCTTCGCCCAATTTTTTTTTTTGGGGTGCGAATTTTGATTCCAGTATTGAGACAAATCTTGCTAAATCATTAATTTGGTGTGATTATTGAATAAATTATGAAACGAACTCTCCAGGATATGTTATATGAACCTGATAAAGTGTACCATGGAGTACAATGTCGTCTAGCGTATATCCGTGTACTTTTGTAAATGATTGTAAATTAAAGGAAAATAATGATGAAAATAAATCTATAGAAGTATTTGAAGTCATAGTGATTTATTTTGCCTTTATTTACAGGTATCCAAAGAGACCTTTGATATCCTCGATCAATTTTTTGCATTAACGTATGGCGATTATAGATGTTTTAGCAGAAAAGTAGAACATTAATGCACTTTGTAAACATTCCTTTAAAATGCAATTTATCCTCTATAGAATATTTCCATACTGTTTTTTCATATTAAAGGTATAGAATAGTTTTAAAAACGCCCCCCTCTCAAAAATGAAATGGAAGCTAGTATTACCAATCATGGGAGAGAAAATGTTTTGATTAATACGTGATGATACAAACTTTGCCGGGAAACCGCCTACTGATTGATATATTTGGTAAATTATCATGTCGATCCGGCCTTGATAGATATCGCGAATGCACTTCAACATTGAACATTTGGGCATATATTTCTGCTTTTGGTGAAATTTAGGTTGTAGTATTGCCATCTAAACCTCTGAAGGCAATATTTAAACAATATTGAATGGATATTTTGCACCCAAAACCCTTGAACCACAATTTTATCAATACCTGTCTATATCTTTAAATGTTTTGCTATTATATATACTGATAAAGGGAAGCATAATATAGTTTTCATGGATTTGTATATTATACAAATCCATGAAAACTCAGTGTGAGAACAAATAAGAAAAAATAAACAGACGACACTCGAATAGATAACTTCGAATAATTTGATTATGTCTATATTTACATAACTATATATAGCTATTTGCAAAATACCCTCTTTCACTTTGAAATCCAGCGAAATTTCGAGTAGGAACTAAACATAACATTTTGTAATAGAATATCACATACTTTTCATCGTTTAAACTTTAAAGATACTATGTCTGTGAAATTTAAACTTGAGCAGTGTCCTAATATTCAAATTATGCAAGGAAACCCGTTTACTTGCTAGACTTCACTGTCAGACACTATTGAGTGACTGACTGGCTTTTTTCATCTTTGGTAATAACATACATAAAATGAGCTGTAAATGGTACATGAGCATTTGTCTACATCAATAACCCACTTCTTGTAATGGCCAAAATTAAACCGATTGAATCTTTGTGCAGCACAAAACGTACGACCATTCGGTACAATGGTCTGAAAAATCAGACTATTACTTACTGGCTCTATAGCTCCTAAGTCGATTCGCCAACTATTAGTCGTTATTTTCCCACTTAAAGACATTTTCAAGCCCCCCCTTTTTTTAGGGAAGTTCTAAATTAGTATTGTCTTTCAAATGCCATTGGAACTTCACCTTTTCATTTTTTTGGCCTGCAAATGGGACATAGTACCTTTAAGGTTTATGCAGAAGGATATATTTCAGATGCAACAAACTCCCCAATTGATACATTAATTTTCAAAGCGTAACTAATTTATTTAGTACCGTGCAAGTGTATCCACTCTGGTATAATCAATAACGAGTAATACATGTGTCGTTTCAATAAAGGTAAAGCTGGTGTTCACTTTCTAAAATCACATTTTTCCCCTTATGAAAACCGTGGGTCCACTCCCAAATAATGAATGTACAAATATGTACCAGGACCCTCTCTATGAATACATATTGCTTAATGTAATCCTGATTAATGGGAAATATCGCTTTTGTAATTGCCATTACTTATATAGGTCATTTACACAGTGTCACATAAAACTACAGTATTACTGCATTTTGCCACTTCCCTGAAAATTAGCCTGTTATTGCCAATCTATATTTTTTGAACCTGCATGCTGCAAACCGGCTACAAATGTAACACATATACTATTTTTAAAAAGCTACCTCGTAACAGGTCTATCGTATATGAGGAAAATTAACATCTTTGGTTTTGATCAATAAGAATAAACATTATTTAAACATATTTGTGGCTGACACCCAGTAAATAAGATCGATTGAATAAGCATGTGACACTTGTTCTACACATTTGTACATAAGAGCAGTGAAGGGCTGTTCCTTTGTCTACCACAGCAATTGATGAGGGTAGAATGAGGAACTGTATATTTTGTCCTCTTTTTTTGTCCGTCATGTTCATAGTGTTTCCGGACTGTGAATCACACGGTACGAGGTTCGAATCCCTACGAGTAATATGCAGCACTAAGTCTCCTTTGGCAGGAAATTAATTTACATTCAACCACACTCCACCCAGGTGAGGTAAATGGGTACCTGGCAAGAATTGATTCCTTGGACGCTGTAATGGTAGCCGTGCTATTATCAATTGTGTCAGACATTAGTGCAATACAAGACGTCACTTTATATCATCAACATTATTGCTATATACTCAAAGTGGGATTAATCTACCAATAACATATCTGACCTTTGTTACCTTGACAAAAATCAATAAAAGGGTCCAGAACTAGACTAGGTGAAGTCAGACGTAGTCTCAACCAAACATAATTATTCCCAAACGAAATAAACTGATTTTTTTTTCGATCGAACCTTCCAGTTGCAATGCAACGCATGTGTCTACGTTCTGTATTAAAAAGACTTCATCGTTTGTCCAACATGGCACCGCATGAAATTACAGACCGACGAAAAAACGGTTTCGACGACGATGACAAAATCAAATAAAATACTGATTTAAAGTGTCATTGTTTTCTTCTCGCGCGAATGTCCAAACACCCGGCCCAGCAAGGAAGATTTGGTTCCGAATTTATACATTTTGGCTTCGCGATACAGCTCGTGCAAGAGATCAACGATCTGTTGGTAAGAGTCGGCTGCGGAGATCTCCAGGTAGGAACATCCAAGATCCTTGGCGAACTTTTCTCCTGAATGAAAAAGAAAGAAGAGCAGATGAGAAGAAGAATGAGAAAGATAGGCGGACAGACAGACAGCGGTAAGAGATGTGATTACTAAACATCAGAGAGATATTTAGTTTTTTGGGGATACATGTACTCTTCCCAAAGAGATACAAAATCCCATTTTACTGCATAAAACGTTAAAACTAATTTGGTATGTAAAAAAAGAAGGGTTTTGATTAACAAAGTAGTTAGATGATTTGGAGATATTACTCGAGTCTTCGAAAACCTGATATTAACAGAATATTGTATTATTACTAATCAATTAACATCATCCATATGATTAAGGACATAGCTGGGTTTCGGCCATCATATGCTACCAGTTGTTTCATGAGGGATGGGGTCGTAAAAACTATATGGATGAAATGCTTTAAAACAAGGTCTTAGAGGTACAGTGAAGTAAATTTGTGTATAATTTTCTTTTCACATCAAGTTTCCCTTGCCTTTTCTTTCTCCCTTTCTCCATT